ACAGTGGAAAGTCACTCCAATAGTCAAAGGAAAGGATGATAAAAGGGGATCTGCGTTTGAGAGGGTCTATTTATATCCATTACGCCACTCCCAACATCATTTCAGCTTTACTTGACATGATGTTTACAAAACGCCTACATTTCAATTTCCAGTGCATGAATTACGTTACATTATACAGCTCATTTGCATTCCCGTACTTTAAGAAAACCATATGGCTCGTCTGTGTGCATCTCTGAACAACTGTCATTTTCGAGCTTGTGTCAATCCCTTTAACTCTATTTACAAGGAAATTGTCATCTGTCAAGAGGCACTGACAGTTGACCAATCATTGCGAGTGAGTTGGTGTAGTGAAGACAATAACAACGCGCATGACTCTAATGAAATGTCAGGACACATGTGCTGATAAACAAAAATTACCTTTATAGTTGGAGCTTAGTGCGCCATGACCACCTAAATTCATTTTACAGGTGCGTGTCCTGCTCAAACCATCGCAAACAAAATGTGTTTTAAGCGAGTGGTGCTAAATTTTCGACCCACTGATTGCACAGGGTAATCACGTTCCAAAAGTGCCATTCACGAATTTGGTCAAGTGCTTCCGGCATCACAGTAGTAGCTACAGCAACGATGAACTGGTCCTCCTTTTTGTAATTGTTTGCTTAAAGTTCGCTACTTAACAATAATGACGGAAACACGAACACGAAATTAGGCAGTAGAATGAAAGAATCAGAGGAACGCGTGGTATTGTGTTACATCGCAGGAGTAAACAATCCCACGGGAAGGTAGCAGCGCCACCACTATCGGGTAAGCACGTTGTAATCTTTAAGCCGCTCAAAGCATGAACGATAGGCGCAGGCATGTTGAGTGGGAAACAAATCTCCGCAGAAGAGTGCGTTAGTGATTTGTATCTGCGTCCGCTCAGAAGTGGGAGTCAGTTGCACTGCAGGTCGTCTAGACTAGCCACCAGAACCAAGGGCACGTCTAGCCGTATGCGCAACTGTGTCAAATATGTTAACTTGGTGATTGAATTTAAAGCTGGAAACACAGTAGAAACGACCATCCAAAGAAAGAAAGACTAAAGCAAGCCACACCATTTGTAAATGACAAAAAGTAGTGTCCCAAGTTGCACTGTACATGTCTTCAGTCTTCCAGTCCTTCGTATCCTTACAGCGTAGACTTTGATAATGCAACTCTTTGGTTACGGATGCGGGGGTGCGGTACTTATGCGAAGGCGTTAACTCAGCGAACAGGCGAGGACAATTTCGTCCAAATGACGTGATTGGCAAGGCTAATCGGCACCAAATTCAAAGCAAAATTACAGGGCAAAAAACAGGAAACGTTATGCTCACAAATTTATGTCAAACTCTCAATGCCTCATCAAATGACTAGCACTGACCAGCACAGTTCCTCTTTCCTTAATACATTTCTTAAGTAAGACGAAGAGGATCGCAAGCGAACAGTAGATTACTTGGCAAATCACGTTCACTTCAAAAAATAGTACCCACCTCAAGTTGTTTTCACAATGAGGCATGACAGGATTACGGTGACGTGGGATAAAGTCGAAAGTTCAAAGTCCATCCGCATTTGCA